AAATTTGAGACGGTAGTACTGAGAAAAGTTCTGTTTCTTTCTTAAAAGTCAACTCTGTCTTTGTACCATAAAAAAAATAACTATCACTATCTATATCCCAGAATGATATTTGTTTGCAACAACTTCTTATGATGGGTGTTTAATACTGTTAGTCTGTAAACTTAAACTATTTAAAACTATATACATGCCGGGCACAGTGGCTCATGCCTATAATCCCAGCACTTTGGGAGGCCGAGGCAGGTGGATTGCCTGAGGTCAGTTCAAGATCAGCCTGACCAACATGGCGAAACCCTGTCTGTACTAAATACACAAAAATTAGGCAGGCGTGGTGGTGGGCACCTGTAATCCCAGCTACTCAGGAGGCTGAGGCAGGAGAATTGCTGGAACCTGGGAGGGGGAGGTTGCAGTGAGCCGAGGTCGCACCACTGCACTCCAGCCTGGGCAACAGAGCAGGACTCCATCTCAAAAAAAAAAAAAAAAAAAAAAATCTATACACATACTAGGTAGGATGGTTTATTTTTAAGATTAATATTTTATTTCCACTCCTTTTATGAGCCAATGATTTACGTGAGTTTACGAGGTTTTTTAATTAAATAGAAATTAGAAGCTTGTTTTTCGTCTGTATATTCATTATTGTTAATTTCATGAGAATGCCATTTGTTTTATTCTTGGAAGTCTTCTACAGGAAGAACTATGTTTTTTTTTTTTACTGTGCTCTGTTACAGAGTGTTTTAAAGTGATTTACCTTGTGCCTACTTAAAAGAGTCTGAAGGCTGGGTGCAGTGGCTCAGGCCTGTAATCCCAGCACTGTAGTCCCAGGAGGCCGAGTCAGGCAGATTGTCTGAGGTCAAGAGTTCAAGACCAGCCTGGCCAACATGGTGAAACCCCATCTCTACTAAAAATACAAAAATTAGTTGGGCGTGTTGGTGGGCACCTGTAATCCCAGCTACTCAGGAGGCTGAGGCATGAGAATCTCTTGAACCCGAGAGGCAGAGATTGCAGTGAGCCGAGATCACGCCATTGCACTCCACCCCGGATGAAAAGAGCGAAACTCCCATCTCAAAAAAAAAAAAGAGTCTGAAAAGTTAATGTGTTTTGATCTATGAAATTACTTTCCATGTAATTTGCTAATTGTAAAAAAAAATAATCCAGACTTATAAAACATGAATGGCTAATCTTTTGGGAAATGTTAATCCTAGTATTAAAATAAGGAACAATAGATATAAATTGGAAGAAGATCATCAGAATTAAAATTTTCTAAGGTCCTTGTAGTCTTAAGGTTCAAGGTAAAAATAAATGACTAACTGATGACTGTGTTAAGAATGCTTGTCAAAATAGGGTAGCCACTGAAAGAATAGACTAGCGATAGAGTGTATGCCTTTGAAGGAGATAAAATGAATTCAATCTCAAGGCAAGAAAGGAGGAAAAGGTAAATACAAAACATAAAAAATTGATGAGAAATAAATGTAAATATGTATATAATTTGTGGCAAAACATTAAAAAGCAAAAATTGTCAGTTCAAATTTTTAAAAAA